CCGGTTTGTAGTTGCAGTTAAAGAAAACACATGAAAAGGCACGATTTTTTTTAAATTCGAAAAAATGTAAATATTTCAAAAACGGTGACACTTTTACCTGAAAATTTTTTGTTTATCAGTGAGCTCACCCCCCCACCTACCTTGCCATAAAGTTTGGCACGTTACTTCTGGGACACCCGTATAAAAAAATTCATTAATTTCTGACATCGTATAAAAAAGTGTTTTCAAAGGACAAGTATTTAAATAAAGGACAAAATACGTTTTTAGAAAAATAAATGGATTCAAAGAGCAGCAACACGAGCAAAAGGACTGTCATTTGAAATTAAATACGGATGGTCACCATATGCATGGTGAAATGCTCGCATTTCTTAAAGGGATGCTCCCACTTCTTACACCCTTGGCACCCGGCTCTGATCTAGGAAAAAAGATATGACGCCTTGTACATACAAAGTTTTCGTACATTTCCAAAAATTAAGATATGGTTAAGTAGTTATTTACTAATTCAATGTTCAATAAATTTACTTGAAATAGGATACATATCCATGTTTGCACAGTTTTTTATAGGGGAGTACATCCATTCAGTTCTAAAGTTAATATCGTGTTTTTAAAAAAAATTTAAACCTTTTCTTTACGAAGAAGGCCTGATTCACACAAACTTTTTTTTAACGCTACGCCAGCGCTGCGGCATTCTCTTTTCTACTATGCACGAAAACGCCAATTTGTTATCCAGTTCTATATATTAGAACATAATTATGGCAACGCATCGGTGCCGTAGCGTTAAAGAACATGCGTTTGCAGCGGGCCTAAGGCACTCGTATTGTAGGATACAAAGTGCAAATAAATAAGTACCATCATGCTAATATGTGTTACACATGTTCTCTTAATATTTATATAGATCGCTGCTGTCATCAACGCAAGCTTCGAAGTGTTTATCATGTTCGTTGGAATCCCAATGAAAAGTTTATCGTGGAAAGTCGGGAGAAACCAGCAGTAAACTCATCAAAGCTTTCCCCACATCCCCGGTTGAAGCTATCGAAGAATACAAAACTCACCTTTAACCCAAAACTATTCATGTGCCATGATAAGCATTTAGAGAATTGCCAGAATAAAACTGCGAATTTTCGGCAACACATTATTCACATCTTTGAAAAATCATTAACTGACTCAGCAAATGAAACCAACTTCTACAACGTTAACTTCAAACCAATGTTTGCCAATAGCTTCGAAGAGCAGTACTACCCATCGTCATGTTTAGTTGTGGATGCTGGTGTGCGGATAATTCGTCGCAAGGATCCCCCATTTAACAAAATAGAAATTGGGAAACTTTTTCCCAAACAGAAGTTACTGCGTAAAGATAAGGATGTCAAGACCTGCGTGATTGTATCAAGTGCAGGTTCACTCTACGGTTCGAAATTGGGAAGATTCATAGGTATGTAATTCGGAAAAAGTAAAAAGCTTACTATTTTATTGATAATACGCTGCGACAGTGAAAATACACCCGAAACATAACATAGTGCATTTTGTAGTTAGGGTCGAATACAACATGCACGGTAGGTTAATGATTTGTTATTACGCACAATTTAGTGTGACAAGTGCGCTCTGTGTAAGAGGACATTCAGAACTGTATGCTTTAAACCGGTGGTGCGAATCAGCCTTCCCGCGGTGAGGACGGTGCCCACTACCGCTTTAAACGTCTGTGAGACCAGGGTTTGTATTTGCGCAATTACTTCAGTAAGTAATGAAGGAGTAGAAAAATTCAATGAAGCTGATTAAAACAATAAAATCTCTTTTCATTTCATTATTTGAAGTGTAAATAAAATAAGAAATAAATATTTTTTTCATTGACTTGGTACTTTTTCAGAGCTTTTCTAAAAGTGTAGACAAATCAAACGAGATTCTGCGGGAATAGATTTATATTTAATTTTTCCGCTATCGCCCGGCACAAAATCAGTTGTCAGTGATAAAATAGCTTAATTTCTTCACTTTTGTAGCAGATATTTGTCTAGAATAGGCAAAATGAGAAAATTTGCGGATTAGTGATTTCGCTTTTGCATTTTTATATTCTTTATTTATCGTTCACTTGATGCGAATTTCGTTTCGGTTCTGTTTAATTGGGCGAAATGTTGCGGCGAATATTACCCGACGGCATTGCTCTGTCCAACGAAATTCGCTCAGCGATTTGGTTCTGTTTATGCTTTAAAAGTCCAATTCTAATATATATATACTTTCAAAAGGCTAAAATAAAAATTACTATATTGGTTTGAAATAAATATTTTTTTCCTTTTTGTAAATAAAATAAGTTTAATACTGTAATAGTGTTATTGAGCTTTCTACCACGATTTTCTTTTTAAAGAAAAATGTAAGAAGCAATAAAGTCTAAGCGGTAGAAGTTATAGCTGCCGTTTCGGAGATTACCACATCTCTTCATCAGACTTCTTTCTCCAGACTTCAGAAGGAACCGAACCTGCATCATCGATGTGCAAAGCCAGCAATGATAACCACTGAGCTATGCGCTGAAAAAAATTTGTTAAACGCAAAAGTAAGGTGAATACGATGAAGGTGAAAAGGATGGTGGTCCTTTATCGCCTCTTGTTTAGCTGCTCCAGCGATTTCACTCTGTATTGATTAAAAGCGTTCTTCTTGGCCGTTGCTTTCAGACTGCATTGCAGGACCTGCAGAGGTTTTAAGCCCAAAATACAATAGTGGCAGTTACAGCTTTTAAAATCAGCTGTTACTGCTAACATTGGCAGCCACGGCTGAACTGATCAGTACTGCTAGTGCCACTGCTGTATTGTGTGTCGCATCCAGTGGCGGAATCGCCATAAAGTCTGACAGGCCCGGGCCTAGGACGGCAGGGTATTTGGGGCGGAAAACAACACACAGGTGGTAAAAATACACGCACGACTTAAAGTAAATACGTGTAAACTCAATATACCGACACTTATTCCGAAAAACGAAATGGTTTTGAAAACACCCAGGTCTAGGGAACTTTATATTGAATTCTACTTTATTGCTAACCTGACGAAATTAAGCACGCCAGATGCTGAAGAAAATGCCAAAGCATTACAAATAGTATTCCTATCGACTAAGAAGAACACTTTTCAGAAATATATCCAGTTTCGTGCGAAGTGTAGTATAAAGAAGTAAAAAAGTCTAAGTTCGGGTGGAGCCGAATATTAAATACCCAGCGCAAGTATTAATTATAGTTTTAAGGCTTTCTGAGAACTACCGTTACATGGTAAAAGAGTGGTCTTACCCCTATTTTTAACAATTTCGATAGTATGTTCAGTATAACTTAATGAGATATACTTATATAGTTAGATGTGGGCGGTACTTGTGCACAAGGGTATAATAACTTTGTTCACATAACGGTTGTTTGTAACAGGCAAAACGAATCGAGATAGATATAGACAAATGTATACATAAATGATCAGGATGAAAAGATAAATCGATTAAGCGGTGAATGTCTGTCCGTCCGTCCGTCCGTCCCTCTGTCCGTCCGTCTGTGCACACGATAACTCGAGTAAAAATTAAGATATCTTAACGAAACTTGGTACGTGTACTTCTTTCGGGCGTAGGACGGATGGTATTGAAAATGGGCAAAATCGGATAATAACCACGCCTACCTCCCATATAACGGTAATTTTCAGAAATACGAAAACTGCGATATTTTAGTAACTACTGAAGATTATTCACTCAAAATTGATATTTACAATAATTTTTAGACGAAAAATAAGAATATTATAAATTTTTGGAAAATGGGCGTAGCCACGCCCACTTATGGTTACATGTGTATATCTTGGTAACCGCTGCACCAATTTCTTCCAAACTTGGCACAGTTGTTGGCCTTGGTACAGCATACAAAACCGCCGAAACTTTTTAAAATCGGACAATAACCACGCCCACATCCCATATAACGGTAATTTAGAGAAATACAAAATCTTCGATAAATCAGTAAATATTGAAGCTAATTTATTCAAAATTGATGCTTGCAACAATTCTTTACCAAGAAATACGTTTATGGTAAAATTTTGGAAAATGGGCGTGGCACCGCCCACTTATGATCACATATATGTATATCGGTAACCGTTCTACCAATTTGTACCAAACTCGGTATGGTTATTGTGCTTGCCACATATAAGCAAAACGTTGAAAATTATTGAAATCGGACTAAAATAACGGCCGCTTCTCATATAACGGTAAATTTCAGAAATGCTTGAAACTTCAATATTTCGAAATTGAAGGACGCTAATTTACTCAAAATTGATACACCCCGGCTTACCATCTAGCGGAAGGTTTCGGAAAGGTGAAAAAACATATATTTAATACTTGCGCCGGGTATTTAATGTTCGGCTCCGCCCGAACTTAGACTTTCTTACTTGTTTTATTTTACGTCTAAAAGCTTCAATAGTTACTAAAATATCGCAGTTTTCGTATTTCTGAAAACATTCGTTATATGGGAAATAAGCGTGTTTACGGTCCGATTTCGCCCATTTGCAATACCAACCTACCTTGGGCGAAGAGCAATCTACATACCAAATTTCGTTGAGATATCTCAATTTTTACTCGAGTTATCGTGTACACGGACGGACGGACGGACGGACGGACAGACAGACATGGCTTAATCGATTTCTCTTTTCAGTCTGCTCATTTATGTATATATTTGTCTATATATATCTTGATTCGATTTGGCTGTTACAAACAACCGTTATGTGAACAAAGTTATAATACCCTGTGCACAAGTGCGCTCGGGTATAAAATGACGATCGGAAGGGTGCTATCAGTTTGGTGGAATAGCTAATATTACATTTACATTGGACCAAAATGCGTGATTTGAAATCAGTCATTTGAAGGTGTTTACACTGCTTGATCCGCATTTGCTTTGACTTCTCATCAAATGAAAAGGGAAGACAAAAACAAAATCTATGTAAACAAACACTACATTTATTGTATGGTTAACGCTTTTTGGACACAAAAAGGCAATTATTCTTTGATTAAACTAAAAATGTGTAAAGCTCTTGTATAAATTAACAATTTTTACACACAAATTTCAAAGATTTATTTATTTCGTTGTGTTTGTTTTGTGTTTGAAAAATTCCAAATGTCAAAGACAAACCAAAGCTTTTGTGGAACTTTTGTTTCTGAGTGCGTTCAATAAAATAGTACGGCAATTGGAACGCATTTGTTTCGTGATTTTGTGTAAATGCGTCGAAATGCGTCATTCTGGAAATGTGAATTTGTATGGAGAAATGCGTGATTTGGCCTCGCATTTGAGGTTTCTCGCCCAAATGACGCATTTGGGCTCAATGTAAATGTAATATAAGAGCTGAAGCCATCTACCCAACACACTACAAGTGTTTGCGTAGTGTGTGTACTCCCGCCAGCAACAAGTAGGGTGTCAGTAAAACCATAGACCGACGGCAACGTTCATCCGGATTAACGCAGCTCTCACACTCTACTGTTGTGAACACCAAACTCGGTTAGTTTGTTTGCTTACTTGTGAAATAATCATGGTGAAATGAACTGAAGGTGGCGCATTCCCGAAACCGCTACTTTGGTTTTGCCGACTTTGACATTTATGGCAATACGTAAACAAACTTTTTGTTTAGAAACAAGTGCAAACGTATTGCAAACGTATTGTGTACTTTCAAGTGAAAAATCGAAGTAATTCGTGCGTTCTGAAGTAAAAAACGTTTTATTTGTAATAAAAACTTTATAAAAATGTCGTTTCGTGTGTTGAATTGCAACAGTCGTAGGGGTAAAGCCCCAAATGCAGTTTTTTTTTGTTTCCCCGCGACCACGCCTTGGCCAGAAAGTGGGTAGAGTTCTGCCGGCAGGAGAAGCCATAAAATTTAGACACCAGCGTAATATGCATGAAGCACTTTACGGACCACTTTTAAACACGACATGTTAAATTGAAAACGTTGAAATACCACAAATTACAAATTAAAATCGGAGGTAAGCAAGCATCGGCCACTTTCTGCAGGAAAACATGCGCTGCGACAAGATATTATCACTTTTTCGGCACCTGTAATACAAACACAAAAATTATTAATAGTTAATTAATAAGACCTATTCTTTTGAACACATTTCAACAGTGGTTGTATATTTTTTGTTAACGTTGTGCTTAATTTGCTATATTCAAAGATGGCTTGAGAAATTGGTGAATCGAGAAGAAAACATGTTTTCTCACTGCAAATTCACAACTGTCAACTCATTGTTCTTCGCCATATTCTTTGTTTACCCGTTGCCACAAATGTCATTCTGCGGGAATGCGCAATCTTTTATTCTATCGTTCTTGTGAAATAACTGGTCGTTTTGGCTAGTGTTGCCAGAGGAAAGTCCCCTGATCCACATTAATTTTGAGGATTACCTTCAGGACTTAATCCGGATCAACTGCAGTTAATACTGAATTAACGAGTTGGTCGA